TTGAAGAATCAGATGCTCTACTTTATCAGGCTATCGCAGCTCCACAAAGCCCCAGGGACCTGTAAAGAATGTCACTGACAGAATTTATTACCCAACTCTCCCTAGCACCTTAAACAGCTTAAAAAGGGTTATTGTTATTTTCAACTCTAGTATTGTGTTTAGGGAGCACTTCCAAGTAACATCTCCCTCACAGCATAAATCCAGACATCCTTCTCATAAGGAAAAAGCCTTCTTCAGGGTTAAAGCCATGGCTTATCAAGTGCAGTGTTATATCCTTGTGATGAGATAAAACAGATAGTTGTATGATGACTGGATGTAAACATCATTGCCAAGTTCTACCTGCAATACATATGAAAATCCACTGCTAGACAGCTTGGTTTTCCTGTCAAACAGCCACCTCACACAAAAATTTTGTCTGTGTCTTCTCATTCAGTTTGTGAAATGGATCTAGTTCAGTTCCCTCCCCTTACGGCAACTTCCACCTTACAGCTTAGCTACTCCACAGAAATACAGATACACATCTGCTACACTGAGCAGCCTGTTTAAAAGGTGTATTTGCAGAAAGACAAAGGTTTATTTGCTGTTTCTTACCAGCTGATAAAAAACACTTGGGTGCAAACAGCTTATTTTTAATTTCTATACTTATTAATACTGAATGCAGATTAAATGAAGATCACCTGATGTCCTGTGCCTTTCATGATAAGCAAAATGAACAGGCTAGTACATAAAGCTGCAGTAAGACACAAATACTGTTCTCTGAAATCAGGTGTTAACTCTAGCACTTACTGATGGCAATACATGTTAAAAATAGCTAGTGCACTAATTAACCTGATAACATGGGGAAAACGGGGCAGGAGGAAACCTGCAGAAAAATAGAGAATAGAGGAAACTGCTGAAGCAGGGAAAAAGGGAAAACAAGTGTAAAACAACCAGAAAAGATGAGAAAGGAAAGGCAGAGAGAGTGGGCACCATGGAGAGCAGTTAACGATTTCATGAAGGGACACGGAGTATCTGACATTAAAATACCAAGACTTGGCATGACTGAATACACAACCATGAATTTTTAAATGCACAGCCAAAGAAAACAAAACATATTTTGTCCCATTCACATGCACTAAACACACGAAATCATAATACATATCATGCAAAAATAACCAACTATGCCAAAATTTTATGGAACTGCTGGACTTGGTGGAGTGGCTGGAGTCAAATATTCTTCAGACTTATGGAATCACTGGATGGGGAAAAGTTCTATTTAGAGCAATGTTGGGTTTCCCACGCTTTCAATCAGCTACACAAATTTAAGTGTCACTGTAAGAGTATATCAGGCTCTCAGTCATTCAACACAAAACAGCGGGTGTGAATGTGAAGCAAGCGTGACATAACCGCCTCTCCCCCATCACAGTGAGATCCCATTGTGCCCCTTTTGAAGGATTTAACTCTCCCTTTGCTTTCTAGAAAAGTGCAAAAGCAAAAGCTTCACTTCTAGCCAAGATGCAGCATTCCACAGGAACCCCAAGAGCACTGTCCACCACACAGCAGCCAAAGCAGCTCTCCATGACAGAACACCACCTTTCCATGGGTACCAACACTCTGCAACTTCATTTCACCAGGAACAGTCAGTTAGAAGTTGACCTGCTGCTTTATGTGCTTCAGAAATTAGTACCAAAACCAACACCCACAGAAAATTGAACTGAACAGAAAACCACATCGCAACCAAACAGAAACAGGTTGTCCAAACAAACCTCTTGGATACAGCTCTTGGCTACTGCAAACATAAGCAACAAGTGCCCTCAGACAAAACCCAGAAACGTTTTCTAGAGCTTCCTCAAAATGATGAAGTGGGAGAACTTCCTGGAAAACCTGAACTCCTTTTTCGTCTCCTAACATGTAAAATACAGGAAGAGCAAAAGCTACTCACATCTGGGGTATGGCACACAGAGCTCTGTAACTAAAGACACAGGGGGCTGGCATGACTAGCTAATAAAAAACAAGGAGAAAAAAGAAGCACTGAATACTTGGGGTTTGTTCTGTTTCTCCATTATTACACCTTGGCTATCAGTATTGCATTTATTATTTACTACTGTATTTATTAAAAACAGGAATCCAAAGTACCTGATACAGTCAGCACTTAGCTGCCAAATCATTACAATTTCCAACTAATAAAACAGTTGTTGTTATTATGCGATAACTTAAATGCCAGTACTGATTTTAAAATTAAAACATTTACATTATATTTCTTTCCCAAGTCATTGCTTAGCAGACTAAAATCTAAGGATGTCAATAATAAAATAATGGGGGGGGAGGGAGGAGGTAAGCAAAAAGCCCCACAGCAGTTCACACCTCCCCACTGAAGCAGTATCAGACTGCAGTTACCATCACTGCACAGGCTACCCAACCAGCCTCACTCCTGTCCCCTGCTGTCCCCCTGTTACCTGTGCAGTGATGAGGTGAGATGATTCAGGGAGCTGATCTGATGAACACTGAACACTTCTGTGTCAGACCGTAGATGGGATCACCTTAAGCTGCTCTAAGATGCATCACAGGAAGGAAAACCTGTACCTGTTCATGGTCCTGCCTCCCTTTCAAAACTGCACTTGCATTCAAGAGGAGGACAGCACAAAGAAAACAGGAAAAAAGAAAAACAAAAGAACAAAACAGGAGAAACGTTTCCTTACGGCTCTATTACACAAGGGCCTTTAAACATGAGCTACCCAAAGTTTCTGAAGGAAGTTACAGTCCTGCAGCCCACCTTCTCCAGCAGCATGGCCACATCCTACCGTGGGAATAAGAACACACCACGGGCTACACTGAGGGGCATTTATTCCAGTAATTAGCCCAATATGCACCTGTTCCAAAGTCAGCTCTACAACTTCAGATATATAAGTAAAGATACAACAGCAGGGCAAGCACACAGCCACACATGGCAGATGTTGGGTATGAGCATAGTAAGGAACGTGCATCTCACGTGCTTGCCTTACAAACCCTAACACACTACCTTTGTGCTTACTAAGCCCCAACGGATACTGCTTCCATTCATTCATCCATCCCGGTGTTTTTTGAAAACTTCCTGGTGCCCACAGCCTGCCAGCCAAGGGACAGACCTGTGTGACATTTTAAGAAGCAGAGGAAGCACTACAACTCCGTCTGCCTTTCTAAACCCTTTCCTCTCCTCTCAGCATACCAGGTATGTGACACTGTGCAGCAACAACATTGATGGGGCTGCTAATAATGCTTTTTTTTTTAATGGGAAGATGAGAGAGATTTAACACATAGTGCAAAAAAACAGTAAATGCAACACTGGCTATGCACACGTAACCTGAAACATAATGCAAGTCCGTGCTTTTTTTCTTTTCAATGGCAAACAACAGCTGTGCGACAGGTGGGAACTGGTAACTTATTCAAGACAAGTCTATCACATTTTTTCTCACTACAAACAGATTCTGCACTGAGAGTTAACTTATGTTAACAGAAATGTTAACATGGGTCTTAGCACACTAAGGTAACTTTTCAACCTGTGGCTGTAGCCACAGACTGGCAAGAGATAGCCAGAAGGGAAATGTGACAGAAACAGCTCAAAACCCAGCAGAAATGCTGAATTAAAAGAAAAGTAACCAGGCATTTCTAACCAGCTTATTGAACACTGATACCAAAACAAAGCAGAATTTCTTTTATCTAAGGGGGTTAACACACATCAAGCGTTAACCACATGGCTGCAGACAGTAATTACTAAGAGAATGTTATCTTTATACATCAGCTGAGTTAGAAAGGACCCACAAGGATCATGGAGTCTAACTCTTAGCCCTGCACAGGACCACCCCCAAGAGTCACATCCTGTGCCCCAGAGGATCATCCAAACACTCCTGGAGCTCTGGCAGCCTTGGTGCTGTGCTCACTGCCCTGGGGAGCCTGGGCAGTGCCCAGCCACCCTCTCGGGGAAGAACCTTTCCCTGAGATCCAACCTGATCCTGCCCTGGCACAACGTCAGGCCTTTCCCTGGGGTCCTGTCCCTGGTCCCCACAGAGCAGAGACGGTGCTGCCCCTCCTCTGCCCCTCCTCAGGAAGTTGTAGCTGCAATAATAAATACTAAAACACACAACGTCTGCTCTTTGGGATCCTCACCTGGAAACGCAGTACTCCCCCAAATACCCGAATCCCAGATAAAATCGGGAGAGCTGGGAATTAAAAGCTAACACCAAAGCAAAGCAAAGCAGGACGTGGGGGAACGCACAGGCACTGCTGTCAGCTGCTCCGGGCTCACCTGGGACTGTGTCCGAGCGGCAGGATGGGAGCCCCCTGGGCAGCCTGCCGGGCATACTTTTCCCTGCAGAGCCGCGCTGCCCAAGTGAGTCCCCCCAGACTCCCGGCACAGCCGCTCGGCCCTGCCGCTGCCGGGACCCCGCGGGCGGGCTGGCGCGATACCGCAACCCCCGGCCCTTGCAGCCCCCGCCCAGCCGGCATCTCTTCCCCTCACCTTGGCCCTGCCGGCCTCCAGCTTGCGCCGCCGCGTCTCCTCCGCCGCCTCCATTCGGAGGCCGGTGCGGCCCGGCCCGGCCCGGCCCGCGCCCCCCGCGCCGTCACCGCGGCGGGGACCGAGGGACCGCGGTCATGGCCGCCCCGGGGCCGCGCCAGGACCGCCCGCTAAGCGGGGCTCCCCACGGATTGGCCACAGCGCAGTAGCTGGCAGGGTCACCGGCCAATGGCGAGAGCGTTCTTCAGTCTGGCCCCGCCCACCCGCGCTAAATGACGTCTGGGATAGGCCGGGCAGGCTGGGGCGCGCCCCCGGCCCCGCCCACGCCCCGCCCCTCCGCGGCGGCCGCCAATGGGAGCCGCCCGCGCCGTTTCAAACGGGCCGCCAGCCACGGCCCCGCCCACGGCGGGAGGCGGCCAATGGCGCGCGGGGGCGGAGCTCCCGCCCTTTCCCGCTCCCTGTTCCCGCCCGGGAGCCGCCGCTGCAGCCACTGAGGGTGTCGTGGGAGCCGCGCCCTTCCGTCTGTGGTGCCGGAAAACAACACTCTAGGACTCTTTCAGAAAGAAAGCGAAAAGCACTCTCTTTACCACGGCGGCCGTGATGCGCAGGGGTATTTCCCAAAGCGCGCGTGCCTGAGTTACAAAAGCCTCTTGCTTTTATTTGGTTACCTAATTAACAATTCAAAGCATTACCTAATGCTGTTACGCCCACTTCCGAAACCGTGCCTCCCACAGTACCGCCCTCGCCACGCCTCCCCAATTTGAGTCGGGGGTCTCAACAAGACCTCATCTTCATCTTCTCTTCTTCCTCCTCCTCGTCTCCTTTGGCACAGCATCACGCCTTCTGGAGCGGGTCCAAGGCTTCTGAATAGCTTTGACTGGTTTTGTCAGATGTTACGTCTCTTTCTCAGTCCAGTTCACAGATAAGAGAAACCCTTTACGTCGTTAAAATTCCCATCTATCGAGCATTTTAGAAAACCAGTACAAAGGCACTAGTAAAATTACACAATATAGGTTTTAGGCTACATCTCTGCCCTACCAGTGGCCAGTGCCGGCGGCCCTGTTGGACTCGGAGGTGTTGGCAAAGGGGAGTGACCTGCCTAAAATCGGCACTCAATCTGCGAGCTTTAGAAACCGGGTGCTCTTTTATTGCACCACGCTGGAATGATTTCGGCGTGTCAGGTGCCCCAGGAATCAGCTCGCTAAAATGCACCCCGTGACATCTCAGTTCCAGCTGATATGTCTGCGTTACACAATTATTCATTTTTGTTCCCCGCATTCCTGTTGCATATTCCTGACGTTTCCAAATACTTACTAGCGTATATCCATATCCTTATAAGGTCTCTGAGGGTCTCTGGTGGTCACCTCTGTATGGAGGCCCCAAAGCTCTGAGTGACCACCTTATGAATGTCTTTAAGATAACATTACTGGTTATACATCAACCAGGCATTGCCTGCTCGGCTGCTTCAGCTCCTTCCTTCATTGTTTCCTCACCTTAGTTGGCTGATGTCTTTAAATTGAGGCACAGTCATTTTCTATGGTACATTCTGCTGCAAAAACTATTAGTTCTTGTTACGTCTCTAAACCCCAGTGTCAGCATCCAGCTCAATTATAAACTCCTGTGTGGAAATGTTGCCCTTTACAGCAGGCCTAGACCACCTTTTATAGATATATTTCATGTTTTACAAGGTCTCACTGCTTTATTTTCCTTGAGCCGTAAGGAAACGCAGAGTCCCTGCATCCAGGGGCACAGATGCAGCAACAGTGACCTCTGGAGATAATTGTGGGATAACAAGGGAGAAATGAGGTGCTCTTTTCTTAATGTTGAGTATTATTAACCTTAGAGTCACCTACAAAAATGGTGGCTTCTTTGTCTTTTGAAGACATTAAAATCACACTGGAAAATACAGCCTTTAATCAAATTTGTTACTTGGCTCAGCTCAGAGGTAACCCGCAATACACTGGGTTTTTCTTCCTAAGAAACACTGACATCTGTGCATCTTTATGAACTAGCACCCCCTTTTCTATCCCTGATCCTTTCTGTGCATTTGGCCCTTAAGTTGGGTTCTTCTGAAGGGTCATAGAAGTGTGTAGACTTTTGCCCCAGATTCAGACATTACATTGTGCAGGTCCTGAACTGGACTTAGCTTGCTCCTGTGGACTATTGCTGCCCAGCCTGTGTCGACCGCCATGCAAGAAGTATGTGGGAAGAAACATGGACGTATTCCTGTTCTCACAATAAACCATTTTGGAGCAATTTCCTGGTCTCCCACGTTACAGACACCAAAAAAACAGAGCAGTGTGCTCCAGAGAGAAAGCTGAGCAAGGCTGGGACAGCAAGGCTTTCTCTAGTGATCAGAAAGCTCATCTGCATCCAGAGCAAAGTGAAGATTAAGTTTTAACCCACTGCAGAGGTTGCTGGTGGACAGTATATGTTGGCCTTACTCCACCTCTTTGTCCCTTTCTCACTGGAGAGGGTGGAGGGAAGGGAAGCAGCTGCTTGGAGCTTAATTTATAGATGGTTTTAAACCACAACACTGAGAAGTGAAAGGAAGCTTAAACTTAGAACTAAGAAGTTTCTTAAAAGAAAAAGATAAAATATCACACCATTTATAATGGCAAACTTGCTAAATAAGATGCATTTAAAAATAACTGATTTAAAATTAATTGCTGCTTTGACTTCTTGCTCCGGCTAAAAATGAATACTTCATGTTTCATGGAATCACAGAATGGTGTGGGTTGGAAGGGACCTTGGAGATCAACTTGTTCCAACTCCCTGCCACGGGCAGGGACACCTTCCACTATCCCGGGTTGCTCAGAGCTTCATCCAACCTGGCCTTGGACACTTCCAGGGATGGGGCAGCCACAGCTTCTCTGGGAAACCTGTGCAGGGCCTCCCCACCCTCACAGGGAAGAACTTTTTTCTAACATCTAATCTAAACCTACTCTCTTTTAGTTTGACTCCATTGCCCCTTGTACTGTCACTCCAAGCCCTTGTCCCAAGTCTCTCTCCATCTTTCTTGGCAGCTCCCTTCAGGCACTGGAAGGCCACAATTAGGACACCCCAAAGCCTTCTCTTCTCCAGGCTGAAAAATCCCAATTCTCTCAGACTCTCCCTGTAGGAGAGGTGCTTCACCACCATCAGGTTTGTTTGGGCTTGATAAGTTTTGGGTTTTTGACAATTTTGGTTTTTTTTTAAAATAAACAACTGATGCATTATATTTTCTTATATCTCTGGCTGCTTGCTGAAATGTCAGGATTTCCAGTGCTGATCTAATTCAGTTGACTCAAGTGTTAACTTGCAACATTACAATTGACAGAAGGAGACAATCGATTGGAAGGAAATTATATGTCCTTCTGGTGATTTGTGGGGGTTTTTTTATTCTTTTAACTCCTTTAACACATTAAAACAGTCTTCTAAGACTGAAATGGTAGAGTCTGCTCTCTAGGGAACCAAAACATGGAAGTTTATTGTCTCTGGACATTTCCGGGTGTGTCAGTTTGTTTTAATAAAATATTCTTTTAATATTGTCTTTTAGAACTCCTAGTAATTAAAATTAAGGGTATAAAATATCAAAATCAATAAAAGACATCAGAGAAATGTAATACTGGTATGGATCTCACCAGGTTATCTAATCCGTTCTTGTATCTGAGGAGTATCTAATGGTTCTACAAAGTTCAAAGCATTTGTTTTTTATTGTTTCATATTGTTCGTAAACAACTTCTGTGAATTTTTTTTTTCTTTCATAGCTGCTCCATCATTTTTCTTACTGGTTAATTGAGATTTTTTTTTTCATGTTTTTATCAGGTTTTCCTCTTTCTCATTAAGCCAAATGCCCAGCCTTTTCCGAACAGAACCCCCATACATCTTGTTTTTGATTGTATCCTCTCATTTATTTAAAGATTGCTGGCCTGTCCTCTTCTCACTATCCACTTACTAATTAAATAAAGCCAGTTCTTACAAGTCTTCCTCAGAACCTACATTTTGTAAATGCACCATTTTAAATTTTTTTTCTGCACTTCCTTTCCCTCTAAAGCCACCATGTCTAAAATTAGGCACAGTGTCCAAACTCTGACTTCAGCACTGCTAAATAGAGCAGAATAATTGTCTCCTGTGAGGTGCATGTAGCCCTGCTGTTACTCCCTGGTAGAATTAAATTTGTCTGATTTTGCTCTTCTGCATCTTCATGCTCAAGTGTGATCCCTCATTTGGGATTCAGTGTTGCTACAGATCCCTTTCAGCAAGATCCTGTGCCTGGCTGGCACATTCCTGGCAAGTCATTAATTAGCAGGTTGTAAGCTGTCCCTAGAGCAGGGATCACACTGTGACCAAGGCATCCATAAGTGGGGAAAAGAGAAATCCATTTAGCAGATTTACTGGAAAGCATTTTTTTTTACCTAGTGTTGGATCTCCTCCGGGATACCTGTCACATTGGGAAGAAGTTTCTCTCTCTTCCTTTCCCCTTTAGTCAACTCAGTTTTTTAACACTGGTGCTGTATTTTTAATGGAATATTTATACCTGGGTCTTTTTTTCAACCTTTCTTGTAACCCTCTATCTATACTGCAATGAAGGCTCTAGAAATTTAACTTTCAGGGGGCACTGTATTAAACCAGCTGATGGCAGAGCATCAGCTCAATATTCTCTAGCAATCAAAAAGGGGGTTTTTTGCCTAATAATGAAGTTTCTATGACCTCTCCAGGGACTCCTAGCCTGTGTATTTTTTAAGGACAGACGGCACACATGCTGTGGGGGTCACAGCTGGAGGAGCTGGTCTATACTGCTCCCACACAGCTTGGAAGCATCTCTCAGCTGCTCCAGCTGCCTGCAGTGGCTCAGCTGCAGTTTTGCTGCGGCCTTCAAGTGAGAAAGGTGGTGTAACTTTGCTCTCCTAGGAGCAGAACTGGGCTTAAAATATGATACTGAGAATGAGTGTCTGCTACTTGGTTTCTTACGCCTCGACGTTCATTTTATGGATGTCACTGACAAATGTTACCCTGTTTTACGCTGGCAGGGGGAGCCACTCTACAGGTTGCTTAGGGGATGGTAAGCAAAAGGATGTTACACCACAGCCTCTTTACTGTTGAACTTAGCCAGGGAGGAGTTCCAGCTACGCTCCCTCATTTTCAGAGTTATTACTTACTATGTGACGATGAAAACTCACGTGAAGGGTTATGCCAAAAGTGTGCAGACCCCTTACAGTGGGATAAACAGGTGTCAATAAGCAAAATCATAACCTGACCCCTTCCATTAGGCTTCTGTTAAGGAACCACTGGCTTTTATCTCTTTTTTTCTTGTCCATTAATGTGCTGGGCATTTGCTTTACTGAAGGTACACAAGCTTCTACGCCTGGAGATAAAATTGTTTATGTTATGTATCAACACTGCAAACTTAGCAACCAGGTTACAGGCACAAAACTCTGAGCTACTTAAAAGGCTCTAACAACACGGAGGCCAGGCTTAGTAACACGGCCAGGGGAAGGCTAGCAACCATCAAGAACGGACAAATAAATATTCAGCCTCAGTTTTCCTCTTGTGAGGGAGGCATCACGACCTGCAGCACAAAATTGTATTGATGGAAATGGCAGGGAAAGCTGTGCCTGTGACGTTGTGGTGACCACCTGTGCTCGTTCTTACCTTGGAGTGAAACGGCAGCTTTTCTCTTCTTCTCGCGGGTTCTCCCAGTCTTGTATTAATGTTTTTTAATAATGGAATTATTCTCCTGTGAAGATCGTGGAGGGGAAAGAATGACCACTGAAAGCCTACCTGCCTTCGTTTAGCTTTTTAACCTGGTTTTGCCTGCCTGCTCTTCCAGGAGACTACTATGATGGCAGATCCTTCAGTGGTGGACCACCTGACACGACTGAAACTCAAACTCCTAGAGAAGGTAAGGGAATAATTCCGCAGCAGTCACCTTTGCTCTGCTTTTTGCTCTTGCCTGTTTAAGCAGTAACATTGTGTTTTAAAATATTATACCTCTACTGAGGTACAATGGGGGTAGCCAACTGAGAACATCTTTCTTCACGCAAGAAGAGGCAGACCAATGTGCAGCGGTGCTATAGCTACTGTCACTTTCTTAAATTACATTGTACAAGCTTACATGGACCTAAGGTAAATTAAATAGACTTTGATCTTATGGGAGATGTCATCAGCTGAAAACCAGTTCGAGTTGTGACAGGCAAAATTTAGGAGTAAATTTTGGATAAAGAGGACCTCGGGTTGTTTTAAGGCAACTTCATGTCTGCTGTCACATCAGACATGTTGCCTGGTGAAACATGGGCTGGCAGCATATGAGGTGCTGCACAGAATCCCAGCTCCCCTTGCTTGTGATTCTGCACTCTGTGTTCTCCACTCTGCTCTGTTCCTCCACCCTCAGCACATCCGACATCCACTGGTGTGGATCTTCTGCTTCAATATCCTCCAGAAGCCACTTGAGGTGTTATCTGAGAGCAGAGTATTCTGAGTTGGAAGGGACCCACAAGGATCACCGAGTCCAGCTCTGAAGTGAATGGCCTGTACAGGGATCAAACCCAAAGCCTTGGTGTTACCAGCACCATGCTCTAACCACCTGACCAGGCAATTTATCTGGAGGCGTGGGTGCTGCAAGTGGTGTCTAACCTGTCTCCGCAGCAAAGCCTTTTTTCTTAGATGCAGCAGCCATTGGAAGGCAAAGCTTTCAGCAGTGTGCAGCCGTGCAGAACCATGGAGGGAGCCTGGGTGCGAGTGAAAGGTCTCTAATTTCTGAGCATTAGGGAGCAACAAGGGCCAGCTGCTCTCTGAGGAGCAGGGAGTTCAGCATAATAACACATCAGCAGAGCAGGGGCCTAGCTGGAGGCAGAGCCAGAGATGGTGGCCAGGTTCAGCCAAGATTCCAGATCCATCAGGCAAGCTCACTGTGGTGAGGCAGGTCCATTGCCACCTTTGGAAGTGACTGAAGATTGGGATCAAGGTTAAAAGAATCTGTGGCCAGTCACAGCATGGCTGGGGTTGAACTGCAGATTAATGCTCATCCAGTATAATTCAGGTATGAACTGAAGACCTAGAGCTGAGATTAAAGGGGCACATGAGTGGCAGGTAGAGCTGAACAGGGTCATTTAGGCCTATTAGTGTACCAAATACCCCAAACTTGGCATTATCAAGTTCTTCATACAATCCATCTCTCTTCCATCCAACATAAATTATGTATAAATCTCCTGATTCACCATGTTATTAATTTTCAGGTCTGGAATGTCCTGGACGGTTGGAAGCATGACATTTCTGTTATTGTAACTAGATTTGTAGTGAGGACCAGCATTTGTCTCCACTTCTGCTTTATTTCCTCCATCCCAACCTATGTCATAAGGTAGGGCTAGAAATTCCTGTGAGCTTTGCTGCCTGACTCATAACCAGTTCTTGTTATGGTTCTACCAACAGAGACTAAAAAATGAACAGGAGAACCTGGAAAAGATGGAGTCATCTCTCCCAGCTGCAAGTAAGAGAAGCATTTGTTCTAATTATGGACATAATTTAGAAAGAGCTTAGTGATGTTCTCAGGGAGGAGTTCCTCAGTCGATCATCCCATTCCAGTACACAGGCACTGTTTATAATTATATTACCTACAGGTTAAAGGCTCTCAGTAAAAGCTCAATGATACTTCTAGATTGTAACCTGGGCTCCCATTCATTGAGCTGATGGACAAATAGTTGGGAAACTTCCAATCTATGGCCAAAAATTAAAAATCCCTATAACAACTTACAGTTTCAAAATCCGAAGTGATGCTTTCCAGAGCAGATGCCAGGCATGTCTCCAATGTATCTGAAAACATTCTTCCTTATTTTCATTTCAAGCAAGTTCTAAATCAACTACATGTGGGGAGAACTGAAGAGGAAGTTGATTCAGAACAAAAAAAGAAAAAGCAAAGTTGACATTCAAAACTGAGTTTGTTTTGATGTCACAACAGTCAGTCATCCTCTGCATATACAGAGTACGTCTAGAAACTTTCAGGCTGAAATGAGTTCCTAAGCCAGGAGGTTAAAAGGGGGCTTTAGAGAGCCACCTAAAGAGTTTCATTTCAGAAAGGGTGCATTGCCTTTGTAGAGCTGTGGAACAGCTGTGACTACACATGTCACAAAGTCGTTATCCATACATGCATTTGTGGAAGAAGCCAGGCTATCTTATAACGCATTTTCCAAATTAATCTCATAATGTAGGTGCTGTAATAGCTCTGTATTTGTGATCCTTTAAGAAGATAATGGACTTTTCCTCCTTCAGGGAACAGACCTGAGGACATGCTCCAAAGTGCCCTGAGGCGAAGGAAAGATCTGCTGCAGGAGCTCAGGGTAAAAGCCCTCTCTGTGGCCAGAAGCAACAGAAAGGGCCCATTTACCTGCACATCCACTGCTGATGTGGATTCAGTGTTTTCCTATCCTTTGGTTCTTGGGCTGGGCACTATCAGTGCTTTGCTGCTTTGGAATATGGAGGCTGGGACAGCTCATCAGGGAGGGGGCCTGGGGAGCACTTTGGCTTCCCTCACTACACCTAAGGAAGCTTGCACCTGCTTCAGGTAGTTGGTGACTTGATTCTGTTTGTCCTGGACTGCTGTGTCATAAGCTTTCTGGGGTAGTGCCAAAATACAAAGAAGGGATTTTTAATGCAGCCGAAGTAGGGACAATAGTAACTGTTACTCATTCCTACTTTGTGGGGGGTACCAACCATTAATGAAATGTTTTCCCAGACTTTTGGCTTCTCGTTCTGCACTTTTTTTTTTTTTCCCCATTCTTTTTTTGCTTGTGCTTCATGATATGTGGGAAGGAAAACTCCCCTTATGCTTACGCAGGTAGTGGCTGTGCCCTGCTGCAGGTTCCCAGGGCGTGATCCCATTCAGTCCAGAGAGCACAACAACACAGTCTGCCTTTCTGTGACCAGGTTTTCTTTAAGAAGAGACTTGATTTTGCAGGAGCAGCACCTTCTGGAAGAGCTTTCACAGCCACCTGCACCAGCTGGAGGACATTGTCATAATCACAGAGCTGTCCCCCCACAAGTCTACCAGATCCCTTTTCCAGCTCCCCAAGCGGAGCCACCAAGGATTATCCAGCAGACAGTAAGGACTGTCTCCTAGGAAACATCACTAGCACTTTGCCAGTCTGAGAAAACAACCATTTGGGAGCTGTATGGCATTGCTCATCCCACCAAAAGGGAAGATACCTCTCTTGCTCTTGTGTGGGACCCTTGCTACCTTCAGCAAAAGCTAAGGGGAATCACCTTACAAATAAGGCCCAAAATTAACAATGTGCATGGTTTACCCTAGGGACAAGGTGGCAAAAGGAGTGGCAGGATTGCCCAGACCTGGCCATTCAATCAGGTTCTAGTGCACATCATTGTCTGCTCGTGCAGCCCACAACCTCAACAGCTTCCCCACGAGGATCTCATGGGAGACAATGCCCAAAATTTTCCTGAAGTCCAGGCAGATGACAGCCCTTCCCAAAGATGAGGGAGCTGGCAAAAACCAACCCAAACTTCTCCATTTCCCTTCCTTTTTTTCAGATCCCACCTCAGCCTGCCACCATCATCCAGCAGCTGCCTCAGCCATCCCCTGTGATCACGCAGATCCCCCCTGCCCATCCCTTTGCAGCCCCCCACTCTGGAAGCATTAAGGAAGGTGAGGTGCTCTCTGTGTAGCAGCCAGCTCCCATCAGCAGGCCCAGGGAGGGCAGGTGAGGTGTCATGGCACGTGGGAGGGGGCACGGGACAGCATCCAAGCTGGTTAGTAATGGGCTGTTTCATGAGCAGGCTGCCGGCGGAGCTGTGGGAATTGCACTCCGTAACTGGGATGGGCACCAGTTCCGAGAGGCTTTCAGACAAACTCCTATCACTAAAACTAAAGAAAGAAGGGCTACAAACTCAAGGGGAGCTTGGGAAGGCAGAACAGCTCAGCTCATGGCACTGAGCAATATTAACAAGGTCAAACGCGTGTGCACAGGTGATTCCAAAATTAACGCACAGGCTTCTAAAATCTGGTTTTATTCTTCTGTCCCCTCTTAACCTGCTATTCAATCTCCTCAGGCTTTTATTATGCCCTGTGTTTGGAAACAAAACAGAATAGTGGAAAGTGCTGATCTAAATATAGTGCAATGCCAATAAAAGGGTTTGTTTCTAAACATAGGTGGAATAACACATGAACTAAAACCTGGGATGACTTCCCTGGCTCAGCCTTCAGCCAACGTTTTCTTCAACCCACACAGAAATCTTCAGTCATGAAACTACAGCATTTCTCACCTTATTCTTCATTTAAGTATCTGGATTTTTGAATAAGAGTTTATTTTCACGAACAAAATAGTCTCAATTCATGCATGACTCTTCTGAAGCTGCCACATGTAAAATACTTTTTGTATGACCAGTAAAAAGGAAAAGGAGAGTCGCCTTGATCTTTTTTCCCCTACTTTTTTTTTCTCGCCTCTTCCTCTTCACCTCCCCCCCGGGCGAATTATTTACACTGCACAGACCCTTTGTGATCCCAGAGATTGTGGTAAGGAGATCTGATGTGCATGCAGTGGCAGTTTGAGGGCTGGACTTAAAGGTCTTTTCCATCCTTTATGATTCTATGAGTCAGTGGACTCTCAAGGTGGCACTGCAATGTCACGCAAATTTGAGGAAACCTCTCACATGGAAAGCAATGGTCTGGGGCCAAAGCAATGGAGAGCACAGTCTGTGCATCCAGGAGTAAGGGAGGGCTACAGCCCCAGCCCTTGTCCAGCCTCTCAGCACAACCAGAGGTGTGGGCTTGCAGGGGAATGAACAGACAGAAGATGCTCATCAGCAGCTTTCCTGTAGAAGGGAAGAGAAAGAGGAAAACTGGTATGAACAGTCTCATTCAAAGGCATTAATTTTGCACTGTCTGGGCAAATAATGACAATACTCTTAATGTGCCCCTGTCAGCTGCTTTGCCTTGTTCGCAGTGGCCGTCTGTGTGCTGGAGGGCACTCCCCACTGTCATGCCTCTGCTGCTTGTCAGTCATTGATAAAGCTCTTATTTTCTTCCTTGGGGGGTGACCTCTTCCCAGATATGGTAGAGATGATGCTGATGCAGAACGCTCAGATGCACCAGATCGTGATGCAGAACATGATGCTGAAGGCTCTGCCGCCGGCGGCGTTCGCGCAGCGCACGGGACCCGGCTCTGCCCCACTCCAGCACACGCAGCAGGTAACAACCCCCTGGGCCTGAGGGGCATCCTCGTTCACACGAGGCAATGGCTGATCACCTGGGGAGGATACAGGGCCTGGACAAAACACACAGAGAGTCTGGGACATCCAACAGCTGTGCACACCTTCAAACCCACAGCGCCAGGAGCCTGTTTCTGAGGCAGCACAGCCTTTTTGCCGTGAGGAGCACTGTGACAGGACCCCATGGAAGAATGTTTCCTCACAAGTGCAGACTGGACTCAGTCCAGCTCTGAAAGCGACCTGGCCTGTAGGGTTGAACCACTAACACAAGACACCTTACACTGAGTATCTGCTGCTGCAGGTCCCCAGCTGGAAACAGCAGGGGAAAAGCTGGAGAGGGGCCTTTGGCAAGGGCAAGCAGTAGTAGAACAGTGGGGAATGGCTTTAAACTGAAAGAGGATAGGTATAGATTAAATATTGGGAAGTAATTCTTCCCTGTAGGGTGGTGAGGCCCTGGCACAGAGAAGCTGTGGCTGCCCCATCCCTGCAAGTGCTCAAGGCCAGGTTGGACAGGGCTTGGAGCAACCTGGGCTAGTGGAAGGTGTCCCTGCCCATGGCTGGGGCTTGGAATGAGAGGGTCTTGAATGTCCCTTCCGACCCACACCATTCTGTAGTTCTATGAATATTATTCATGTTACAAATTACTTTATTAGTAAATTTATTAGTAAATGCTGACCTGGCAGTATCAAATGGATTAGAGCTGAAACGCAGATTTTGTGATGGTACCTGGAGCCTCTCTGCTCTGGTTCCTGCCTCACTGAAAATTAGTTGCTACTCAGCTCTGAAAAGACAGATTCTTAGATATATTTTAGTATGTAGAGCCCTGTAGGGATTTTTTCAAAATGTGTCCAGTGCCTGATGAGGGGTAGGTAAATTTGAACATATCCTTAAATGCCCAATTCCTAAACTATTTTTAACAAGGTGATAGAGCTCCTTAGGATCCTTAAGTGCTTTGGAAAAATGTCCAGTCTCTCCTCCGTGGCATTTATTATCAAAGAAGAAAGGAAAGTTGATCTTTGTAGAGGAGGGGAGATGCTAGTGTTGCAAAACCTTCCTCTGTACTTTTCCTACCCCACGACCTTCAGGCTAACTTTTCCTTGTGCTGAAAGAAAGAATGCATCCCCTGATCCCTCCGCTTCTCCAGGCCGTCCTGTCACTCTGCATTTCCCTGGCACTGACTGATGGAATAAGTTGGAGGGAGTGGGATCTGAGTGCCTCTGAGTATCAGGGGAAATCTGAAGTCACCAAGTGTTTGTTGGACCTTCTGAACTGGTGGTTGAGTGGGACCACAGCTCCTCAGCCAGAGACCCTTCCCATGGGGGCACAGGTTTCTCCACCCACACTTTGTCTCTCTCCAACAAGGACCTGCAGCTTGCTGCTCCCCTGGCAGTGAAGGCAGATCGTCCCAGGCCGCCCGTGGTGCACCACCACCACCACTACCCTCCCCCAGGGGTGCTTCCAGTGCCTCCCAGGGGCTTCCCATCCCCATCCACGGCGCACCACTGGACCTGGACATAGGCAGCTTGCTCTCTACCCAGCCTAGGTATGTAAGCAGGCAGCTGTGACATACCCTTCCAGCCCATTCTTCCTGCAAGGGTGGGGTAGCAAGGCAGATTGTGGAATAAACGTGAGGATCAGACAAGATCTACAGGTGATACCAAGCCATGTCCCTGCCTCACAGAGCCCCTGCCCTGCCATGCTGTGGGGCTCTGCTCTGCAGGGGCTCTTACCCTGGGTTCTGGGTCTCCCTGTGAACCCAGCAGTCACCTGCTAAGCAAGGGGGTTGTATGTGTTTTACGCTCAGGCTAAGGTTCCCATCAGGATTTGCATTCTTAAAACACTGCTGAGACATTTGCTAATTGGAAATTCTTGGGGAAAAAAACCTCACCAGCTGAGAAAAACAGTACAAAGGGAGAGGAGCATCAGAAATAAAGCTGAACCTGTGCCTGCAGCTCGGTTTCACGTGCAGAAATGGATGATGCTCTCGGGTCTGTAGAGCCCTTGAGCCCTGCACAGAGCTCAGCAGCCAGCTCCTCCAGGTGCTCACTTGCTTTGTTGCCTTCCTCTGAGCTGGTCCTGGTTGGCTTGTTAGGTGCTAGAAAGTTCTTACGTGCCAAGGCTGGTAAAGAAATGCACTTTGCTGGAGCACAGGGGGTGGCATGGGGACACACTGCTGCATCGGTGAGAACACAGCTTTTATTTCTGTGCTGTGGCTCTTTCAGAGCCTTAGTGAACAGAAGGACAGGATGGAGGCAGCTGCAGCCCTGGGCCCCTGTGACCTGCTGGCAGGGGTATCTATACGGCCTTCTTTAGCAGAGGATTTGAATTCCTGAACAGATTATTTACCTAATGGGATTATAAGGGATAAACATTTCTACCTATTTCCCTTTTACATGGGTTTGTAATCTGAACCAGTAAAGAACTCCTGGCTCCTTTCGGAATCAGTGCAATTCGCTGTTTAAGCTGTCTCCTTCCTCTTCTTCAGCTGCCTTTCACCATGAGTTATGAGACCAAACATCTTCTTGCATCTGCAGCACTGCTGCTATTACCAAACACAATAAACACATCTTTCTTGTTGCAGGTGGCCCACATACTGACAGGACGGGATCCTCTGCAAGTGGACCATAGCCCTTCTAAAAGTAATAAAATCCTGATGTTCTTCCTTGAGTATTGACATGTCTTTTTCTTCAGCAACATAAATCAAGCACTTTTCTCTCCTTTACTTTTCCCACTAGTTTTCAGAGGGTAGGTTTTAATCCATGTCCATGCTATCCTCTTCTTTTTGTTTTCATTTACAGCTCCTTAAAAGGCTCAAAGTTTTTATCAGGTAACACTTTTTCATGCTCTCAGCAGCCTGGTTGTCCTTAATATAGAAAGATGAACAATGATTTCGTACCACTTTCTCAATGTCTTCCCACCTTCTCCTGTTTTTAAAGCAGAGAACATCTGTACATTGGGTTTGCCTTGTGCAGTTTGCAAGTGAGTCTGATTAAGATGACCCAGGGACCTAAATTTCATTGGGAACGAAGAAAACATAGTAACAGCCACTGCAGGAAGCTAGTGGTGTGCTGTCTGTGCTCCGAAAACAATTAATGAATAAATTATTTACTATGTAAAACCTACCTTGCTCTTTGCCCTCCCTGCTCTGTTGTCTGTGCTCGGTGTGTGAGTCAATCAGACAGTGTGGAGATCTCCACTGCTGTGGAGATCAGAGAAACCCACACCTGCTCTTTAGTGGTGACTGGGTTGGACACAGTGCCAGGGCCCATGGGCACCAACAGCCTTTAACAACCCCAGCCAGCCCACCTGGGACCCCCGCTCTCCCCAAGGCCAACATTCCCATTTAAGCTCGGGCCTGGGGCTGCTTGTGGCTCCTGTCAACCCTGTTTGTTGAGTTGCTGGCCCTTGATGGGCTGGGAACCAGGACATGCCACAAGGAATGGTGCTGTGCTTGTGGAGGGATTTGATCTTTCTCTTTCAAGACTCTTATAACTCTCTACAACTTCTCACTCTCTGCCTGAAAGAGGAAATGGCCTCAAGCTGCACCACGGAAGGTTTAGACTGGACATTAGGAAGAAATTCTTAACTGAAAGGTTTGTCAAGCATTGGAAGAGGCTGCCCAGGGAAGCAGTTAAGTCCTCCCCCATCCCTGCAGGTCTCTAAAAGTCGTGTAGATGTGGCACTCAGGGTCATGGCTTAGTGGTGGGCTTGGCCGTGCTGGGTTAACAATTGGACTCAAATATCTTAGAGGACTTTTCCTACCCTCAGGATTCTATGAGCCAAATCTGCTGGTTTGGGCTGTGCATGGCAGGTTGAGCAATAAATGGTGGTCAGTGTGTGCTAATGCATGTGCTTTCAGTGTCTACTGTTTAACTATTGTGTGCAGGCTGTAACTGGCTCCTCCCTTTGCAAACCTTGCTGTGTGCAGCCCTGGCTCAGGAGAGCATTTCCTACCAAGGATGGGCATGTGAAATGGTGCCTGCAGGGGCGTCTCACAGCCTCATTCAAGTCCTGGAAAGCTTCTGCAGATTAGGCATGAACCCTCTGCCCAGCATCACACCCCAAAATGCTTGAGTCACACACAGCTTCCTTGGATGAAAGATGTCCTCAAAGACAGGACAAGGCTCCTGAGCAAGCAGGGTGGCTCACATCTCAGCCTCAGGAGAGAGCCTGTGCAACCCCAAAAGCTACTCTGCATTGTCCCACCAGTGCCCCTGCAGCTGCAGCCCAGTGAAGCACTAGCAAAAGCCTGGCAGATGCAGCTTGAGGACTGTGGAATTGCTTTACAATTTCTGAAAGAGGCCTTTGGATCAAGCCTGGCTGAGTAACGCCAAGTCCCCATCTCTGCCCCCGAGGCTCATCCAGGCTGACTCGCTGACACTCTGTGCTGGGAGTTAAACTTTAATACGAACCAGGGGAGAGGAGCCCAGGCGTGACTCAGCCTCCCATGTTCTTCCCCTCCCCACTGGAGAGGGTGGTGTGGCAGGACAGGGAGCGGGACAGGACACAGCAGGGAGCACCTGCGGCCCAGGGGCTGCCCTGGTGATGGAGCCCTGTGACCCACACGGGAAGAGAGTTGCTGTTGTCGGAGGTGGCCTGGTAGGAAATGCCCTTTAGCTGCTGCATGACTGTGTTTGCCAGGGAGCTGGGATTGTAAAAGCACTGCCTGAGCGTGGTTGGATGTTTGTCTTGAAATCATTCCTCTGTGAGATGATGGGGCGTCGGAAAGGGGCTGGTTTTGTTCCTGCTGTGGGAGGCTCTTGTCCTTTTCTCTGAGGAAGGGGTTTGAGTGGTGGTGGAGCAATGGTGCCCAGGTACATTAAATAACAGGCCTTGATGGGCCACCAGATCCCCCTGCCCCTTGGCTGTTTCTAGCTGTAACCAAGTCACCAGTGTGAAATGCTTTGCAAGGACTGAGACTCAGTAAATGCCAGGCTAAAAGGAAATGCCTTCCTCTGCCCACTTTTGTTTGGGAATGGTTTTCATCCCCTGCTACTTGCATAGTGGTCTGACTCTAAAGGCCAGGCTGGATGGGGCTCTGAGTAACCTGGTCTAGTGGAAGGTGTCCCTGCTCATGGCAGGGGGTTGGAATGAGATGGTCTTTAGGGTCCCTTCCTAACCCAACCCTTTCTGTGAGTCTATGATCCTATGATAGCATGGAGCATTGCAGCACCTAACATCTCTCTCTTGACTTTTTGGACATTAGCTTCTTGGAAAAGAGTGATGACATAAGAGTCTGTAGTTCTGACAGCAATTAGTGATGGAAATAAACAAGAAAAATTGATTTAAATAACAAACAGGACATATTCGTGCTGTTCTCCCCCAATGTGTTCCCAAGGGAATGCTGCAGCACCCAGAATTCTATTGAGGAAGATAAACACACAGTCCAGAGAGGAGCAGTGAGCTTGCCTGTACCAGCTCCTGCTATCTCTGGCTGAAGAGATTAACCCTGCTGCACTCAGTCACTGTGTGTAAACAAGCCTGAGCTTGATATGACTTCATATGAAGAGTTTTGATGGGTGGCTTTGGTCTTGGAGACTTTGCAGACACATCAGATCTGCCAGAGGACTGCTCTTCAGCAAAAAGTCCTCTAAGGCTCCTGGTCAAAGGACTTACCTGTACATGTTGAGCTGCATCCCCTGATCACTGCTTTCCCTTGATGCATCTCAGTAGTGACCTGTGGAATACTTCATCCACCATTCCTGGTCCTTCTCTTGTAGGTGGGCGCATTAAATGCCTGTTTCTTTGCTAGACGAGGTTTCCATGTTGATGTTTACGAAGCCAGAGAAGGTAAGCTCAGCCTGATCATTACTGTGTGAGCTCACTGAAACCACAGGAAAAAAAGAAATCTGAAAGTGTGACAGTTTGGGGATATTCTTTTCACTCTTCCCTTTAGGTCCTGGGGGGGGGGGGGGGGAGCACTTATTTGAAGTATGTTGCCTTGTGTGGAGAGAACCCACCCTTCAGCTACTAAAACAATGCCCTTTTTATGTCCTTGGCTTAAATATTGATTCAAATCCTCACCTTTCAAACTTAGTCTCTGCAGGAAGCATTATAGTCCAGAGCTGTACCAGAAGGAGAGATGGAGTGCTCTCAGGAAGCCTCCAAGTCCTCAGGGTGCCACAACAGAGAAATCATGACTTAGAGCCAAGGTGCTGGCTGAAAGGCAGAGAAATCATTCACCTTCAGTATCTGTCAGCTGGCAGACAAAGAGAACCTGGGCAGAGGTGGCAAGTCAAGCAGCAGGTGAAAACGACACCATGGAAGGTGAAACTCAGGCATGCAGTGAAGGGAAGGAGAAGCCGCTGCTGACACGTGATCTCTGTGGAAACTCCTCCTGCTCTGATAGACATCAGGACGGGCAGTTCTGCTGCATGGCTCACAGTTGCTAGAAGTTCCACAGGTTCAAAAAGCCTCTGATTGCCTTCTGAGTTGGATGGATTTTACTGCTGTACTCCAGGTTTTGGCCCATTGCTTACGGTGAGATGCATGAGGAGGCTCTGCCCCCTGCACTGGCCAGGCAATCTGGGAAGGCTGAGTGAGGCAATTCTGAGGAGGAACAGGCTGGTACCCAGACATTTCTATCCGAACAGGAGTGAAGAAGGTGACCTGCCAATGTCCCAGAAAGTGTCAGTCTGTGGGGTCTCAGCAGAACCTGCCAGGCATTCATCGCTCAGCCCTCTGCATTTAGAGGGGAAATGGTTCTTAATGATAAGGGGCCCCTTGGCACTCTGGGGAGCTGTCAGGATCCAGCATTCCCTTTGCAGCACTGGGCTGCAGCTGCTTCTCCCGGGCTAAAGGTGGCCCAGAAGCCGCTCAGCCCAACACCTAAATGTGCCTTTTGACACTTGCCCTCTCTGCACCCAGAACGGGAGGATGGGGACTCCCCACTGCCTCTCCTGCGGTTGCTGCAGGGGGTTTGGAGATGCTGCCCAGACCAGGCTGTGGTGTCAGTGCCTCCATAACCAACTGTTCTTCCCACGCAGACATCCGAGTGGCCAGCTTTGCCCGTGGCAGAAGCATTAACTTGGCCCTATCTCACAGAGGACGCCAAGCCCTCCGAGCTGTGGGGATGGAGGAGCAGGTACCCTGGCAGATCCTGTTGGTGGTGGGCTCTCTGTGGTTAGAACACTCTTGACTTCAGCTGGCGATGGACAGGCTCTCTTCTGCTCCTCAAGCATGCAGAGGTAGCTCTGCTTTCATGAGGGTGGAAGTAGATGTCTCCCAGGTAGACCTCTCCCAGGCAGACCTCTTCCACTGCATGCCTGCAGCCTGGCTCTCCCCTGCTCCATGGCACAGCTGCCAGCAGGATCTCCCCCAGCCTGGAGGCAGCACCCAGCCCCAGGCAGCTGGGCTCTGCTCCTGGCAGTGGGTGCTTCCCCAGGACACCAAACACTCAGGCAACACCTACCAGTGTTTACCTCCCTTCCATGCTCTCCTTCCTCCCGGAGGTGAGGGCAAACAGGGCAGGAGTAGACTGACTCCCAAAAGAGCTGATGTCCTAAAGCAGGATGCAATAAAGGGGTCTGGTTTCTGCACTGACATGTCCAAATTCTCCCACAAAACCTTCATTCTGCAAGGTGCTGGCTACCATTTTACATCCAGCTGTTGGTAGTGATGGGATGTCCTCGCCCCTGGATCTCTGCAGAGGAGCCCAAGCTTTGACAACACATATCCCAGTCCCAGGATGTAATTCGTCTGTCACCCCCTGCCCTGTCCAGCACCCTGGGATTTTTCATGTCCCTTCTATCAAAAAATAATTTCCCCCTGATTTTTATGAGAATGAGCTTGTGAGTAACCTCAGTAAACTGTAGTGACTTGGTGTGACAGCCCTGTAAAATTTTCCCTGGTGACTTGGATAAGCACATGGAAAGGTAGGAGCAGAGAGCACCCCATTCTTCCTCAAGTGCAGTGCCTGAGGAGGGGGGTGATGCTTGGTAACTTGTGTTAAAACCCCACACTTTTAGCCAGAAGTGTTCTCTTATGTTTCAGATTGTGTCCAAGGGCATTCCCATGCAGGCAAGGAGGATACACACACCTTCAGGGAAAAAGTACTCTATCCCTTATGGGAAGAAGAACCAGGTACTGAAGATGCTTTGCAGGGCACAGGGGGCCTGTGTCTGGCATTTGTGCCTCTGTGTCATGGGCAGTCTGGGGCTCATGCTCTTGGGGAGGATGCAGGAAGGGGATTGCGTGACCCCTGGGTTCAGTGGGGCTGTTTGAAGGGGGGAGGGTTTTCTGTCTGGCCGTGCAGAGCAAAACTCAGCAAAACCTTCTGAACCCCCTGTTTGTTTGCCTTGCAGTACATTCTGTCTGTGGACAGAGCAAACTTAAACAAAGAGCTGCTGACAGGTAGGTTGTCACTTCTGTTTGCAAATATTTCTACACCCTTTTCCCTGAGGATTTTGGCTTTGCCCCATAACCAGCAGATTTTGGGCCCTAAGCTCCCTTACCTGGCTCTCAGAAAGTGCAAACATGAACTAGCCGTGTTTTTAAGAAGAAAACCTGTGCCGTTTCCCAGCTAAAGCAGGACATGCCTCCTCGTCCTTGTCATGCTTTGTGGCATTTTCCATGGCTCCTGATTGTACAGAGACAAATAGAAATTGGAGCACTATGGGCAAGTATATAATCGGAACAGGCCAAATTTCCAGCGCTTCCCCATTAACTGCAGGCACCTCATCCCATCCTGAAATTCAGTGGAGTGATGGTAGAAAGTAGTCAATGACTCATGTCATTTTGAGGAAGAAAGAAATCTTTGCAGGAGTCTTTGCATTTTTTAAATAGTTTTTACCATAGCTGATCAGTCCCAGTGTGCCCTGCCTGCTGGCCCTCACTCATCCAGCAAATTATTTCCTGTAATGGCAAAACCCCCTATAATTTAGGGATCTCTTGGAAATATTTTTGGAGTGACAGTAAACCCCTCTACATTAAGTTGTCTTTTCTTTTCACAGCTGCTGAGAAGTACTCCAACACTAAGCTGTACTTTGGACACAAGCTTGTGGAGTGCAATGCAGAGTTGGGGATGCTATCCATAAAAAGGTAATCCCTGGGCAAGCGTGGGATCAAGTGTTGTGGTCAGTTAGTTTCTGCTTAATCATTCATACAACCTCAAACAATTGAGCAATCTTAGTGTTGAAACTAGTGTGTGTGTGTGTGTAAGGTGTCCCTGCCCATGGCAGGGGGTTGGAACGAGATGAGCTTTTAGGTTCCTTCCAACCCAAATCATTCTGTAATTCTGTGACCTTGTTTCATAGTTAGGTGAAGTTCTGGTCATGACCCAACCCACCTGGGCATGCAGGCTCAGCAGTGTTACCCCAAGGCTGTCTGCTGCATTGTTGGGTACAGCTGGCAGAGTTATGCTTTTGATAACCTACAGGATAATTATTTGTCCTAACTCTGAGCTTCCCAGGCCATGAAAGCCAATCTTCCCTCGCCCCAGAAGATTAATAACGCTGGAGGTGACCCAGTCATTTTGCAAAAGGTGCTGAGCTGTCCTGGAGTTACAGCAAGATTAATCATAAAATCATAGAATGGTTAGAGTTGGAAAGGATCTTAAAGATCAGATTGATCCAAGGGACTCTCTTTGCTTTCAGATCTGACCAGCAGACCTTGGAAGTCACCTATGACCTCATTGTGGGCTGTGATGGAGCCTTCTCAACAGTCAGAAAACAGTTCATGAGGCAAACGCGCTTTAACTACAGTCAGCAGTACATTCCTCATGGCTACATGGAGCTGACCATCCCTCCCAAAGATGGAGATGTAAGTGTGCCTGCCCCAGAGGCTGCTGTGACCTTTGCAGCTTGGACACCCTGCCCCCTTCTCATGGTGGCTCTGCTAGAACAGCTTTAGAGAAACTAATTTCTTACCTGGGGTTCAGGAAAGGGGTTAAACCTTTCCTGGGAGAAGGCAGGGATCTCTTCCTCTTCCAGAGGTTGGCAGCTGGCTGCAAAAATCCTAGAGAGCCTGTCCTGGAGCATTGGGGTTAACTCTAGCTCTGAGAGGTCCTGAGGGTATGGGAACATGTCTGAAAGGGTATCAGCAACTGCAGAGCAGCAGATTTTTTTCCATTTTTCCCATATTTCTTACCCTTTCCTCTTCCCATGCGTCTCCCTGAAGCATCAGGTACCAGACAGGGGCCCTGTAGTTGTTGTGTCTTCTCATGGTACAAAGAATGGGAATTGGTGTCAAGGATACAAGGTGATTTTCTCTTCTCTTTCAGTTTGCCATGGAACCAAACTACCTCCATATCTGGCCGAGGAACACCTTCATGATGATTGCACTGCCCAACATGGTGATAACCCATGGCCATGCTCTCTTGGGGCACAGGATGGAGCTGGTGGGGATGAACTGGCTGTGGTGGCCGGGATTGGGAGGGCCAAAAATCACAGAATAACAGACTCACAGGATCAATTAGGTTGGAAAAGACCTCTGAAATCGTTCAGTCCAACCTATGACCAAACACAACCATGTCAACTAGTTCATGGCACTGATGCCACTTCCAGGTTTCCTTAAACACCTTCAGGGACGCTGACTTTACCACCTCCCTGGGCAGCCCATTCCAATACCTAATCACCCTTTCTGTGAAGAAATTCTTCCTAATGTCCAATCTAAACCTGCCCTGGCACAGCTTAAGACTACATCCTCTCCTGTCGCTGGTTGCCTGGGAGAAGAGCCCAACCTCCACCTGGCTACACCCTCCCCTCAGGTAGTTGTAGGGAACGAGAAGGTCTCCCCTGAGCCTCCTCTTCTCCAGGCTGAACAGCCCCAGCTCCCTCAGCCTCTTTTCATAGGGCTTGTGCTCCAGATCCTTCACAAGCCTTGTTGCCCTTCTCTGGACCTGCTCCAGCCCCTCAATGTCCTTCCTGAACTGAGGAACCCAGAGCTGGACACAGCACTCCAGGGGTGGCCTCACCAGTGCCAAGTACGGGGGAGGAATCACTTTCCTGGTCCTTCTGCCACACTGTTCCTGATACAGACCAGGATGCCATTGGTCTTCTTGGCCACCTGGGCACGCTGCTGGCTCCTGTTCAGAGAAGGTGCCAGGAGGGACACCCACCCCTTTCACAGCCTGAGGTGGAGCCAGTCCTGCCTCCTGAGCTGAGCAGGTACCTGTGACACCTCTCCCTGCCCACGCGTCTGAGCCCACCCAAACCCCCCAAAACAGCCCTCTGCAGCTGGATACCAGGAGCACCAGGACAGTGTGCCAGGCCCAGGCTGGCCAGTCACACACCGTCTGGTTCTACCTGCCCCCTGCCTGCCCTGAGCGTGGGCAAGCCCACCATGGGAAAGGGGGTGGCCGGGCACTCGTCCTTTTCCTCTCCAGTGGGTCACTGCTATTGCCAGGTGACAGGCTGGGCAATGAGCTGCTGCTCCACGTGCCACATGCTCTCTGTGGTCTCTGAACTTCTTACTGACCTTCCTCCCCGGCTGGCAGGACAAGTCCTTCACCTGCACACTCTTCATGCCCTTTGAGGAATTTGAGAAGCTCACGACGGGGGACCAAGTGCTGGGCTTTTTCCAGACCTACTTCCCAGATGCCATCCCCCTCATCGGAGAGTAAGTGTTCTCATCTCCCCTTCTCTCTCATCAACACAGTGGTGTGAAGCCAGGGAACAAATCACTTAGCCTCGGGCCCTGGTGATGGGGTTGTGATGGATCCCCCTATGTGGACTCTCTCACTGCTGGACAAATGGCACAAGGGCAACAGCACAGAGCTGGAGCATCCCACCCCTCCTGGGGGCCCTGATGGCAGTGGGGACCAGGACCGGCCTTTCCAGTACATGTTCTGATGTCTGTGTCTCTGTTCAGTACATCCTCATTTTCCTGCTGAGAGGGAAGCCTCCACACACAGTGGAAGCTCCAGCTCACACTATTAATGCTTCTGCTTTGCAACACAGCTATCTGTTATGGGATGGGCTTTTTTTGGATTATATCAATGGTCTCAGCTGTGTTTGGCAGTTTTCTTTCCTCTTAAGACTTATTGCAGGACTTCATATTAACTCAGAAACTGAGATATTCTCTGGTATATCCTTCCTACAACGACCAACGTCCACCACTGCTCACAGTAAGAGGACCAAGATGTCAACACTCAAATTGTGTGCAGAGCTTGAAACCTGCAGACAAAACCTTTGGTCCATAGGGAGAAAGTTAATGAAATAGATTACCTGGCTCCCACATTTTTCCCAGCACAAATAGCCTAGGACATGGGTTTGGGTTTTGCATCCCAAAGCTGACAGTGCCTTCCTGAGCCGGGACGTGGCATGACTTGCACTTCTTCTCTCTTGTGGTCCCACAAGTGAAGTATCTGTTGTTTTGCCTGAAGGCAAGAGCTGAAGCATGACTACTTCGTGCTGCCAGCCCAGGCCATGGTATCTGTGAAGTGCTCTTCCTACCACCTCGCTTCCCGGTGCGTGCTGATGGGAGATGCTGCGCATGCTGTTGTGCCCTTCTACGGACAGGGCATGAATGCGGTAGGTTCAGGGCTGGCCCTGGTCCGTGTTAGTGGGGTCCCCACTCTTTTCACCCACAATTGCCTGGTTTTAGTGTGTAGGTCCACAGAGTTCGTGGGCTGGCCTGTCCCACAGCCTGATGTCCTCTGCATTGGCAGGTGTTGAGCTCCAGTCAGGGTGTCCTCCTGGGGAGGAGAGGGGACAGGGCAGTGATGCTACCTTCTCATGAGGCAGAGGACTGTGTGGGAGGGGGTAAAGGCTACTGGGAAAGGCAATCCCCTGGATTTCTTTCAAGACCCCTGGCAGAGTGGCCTGGAATAAGACTCCCACCTGAGGCTGTAGTTAGTGGGACCAAAAGCTACGCTAGCTAAGCATTCATGGGAGCACTTCTCATGAACATGTGGCTCCTTATGCCTATTAACCCCCTAATTTTCCTCCCAGGGTTTTGAAGACTGTCTGGTCTTTGATGAATTAATGGACCAGTTCCACAACGACCTTGGTGAGTGAGGTGGCTGGGGAGGAGCGAGAGCAGAGGAACACCTATCTGAGGATGAGGGCAGCTGGATACCTGCAGCCTGTGAACTGTTGCTTTCTTCTGCCAGGTGCCTGCCTCCCTGAGTTCTCCAGACTGAGGGTACCAGATGACCATGCGATTTCAGACTTAGCCATGTACAACTACGTGGAGGTAGGCACACGGACCTGTGGTCCCACGGGCCGTGCACACAGCAGTACTCTTAGGATGCACACAGCAGGCAAGATCCCTGCAAGACTCTGTTTGGGCTCTCACCCTGGCAGACTTTAGCCTCAGAGCTCCTTGGGAATGCCACTGGGGCTAGGGAGGCTCTGTGTGACCTCTAGGACAGGCAGTAGAAGAGCTAGCAAAGCGCGGGGGAGCTCTGCCAAAATTCCTGGCAAAGGCATGACTGTTGCTCTGTTGCAGATGCGTGAGCACGTGAATTCAACGTGGTTCATTTTCCGGAAGCACGTAGACAACTTTCTCCACGCCCTCATGCCTTCCACTATTGTCCCGCTGTACACCATGGTAAGGCCAGTGTGTCCCCACTGCCTGGGCTGCCACCAGCTCCTTCTGGCTGCCTTTGTGGTGGTGACAACGCTCCTGCAACCCTCCCAGGTGACTTTCACCAGAATTCGCTACCATGAGGCACTTCAGCGCTGGAAATGGCAGAAAAAGGTTGGTGAAGGGTGCCCTCGGGAGCATCCTGCACGCCAGCACTGCTCAGATGCCAGGGGAGTTCTGGTGGTGGGATATCGCCAGGTGGGAGCAGGTGTGACGACTTCGCTTGGTGCTGCAGGGTAGGAGCAAACCTCTGATGATGTTGAGGTTTCCCTTTGCACTCGCAGGTAATTAATCGAGGGATCTTTGTCATGGGAGTGGCAGGACTGGCTGGCACCTACCTGCTGATCAAGCGTCTGGCACGGAACTCGGACTTCTGTGTGGAAAACTTGTGGGGCTGGTCCCGTTACCTGAAGAATATTAGAAATTTTCCCTTTGGCACACAAGTGGCTGAAACGTAAGGGGAGCTTCTTGTAATAAAAGCAAAGGCATGGGCTGTCAGCTCAGCTGGATGATGTTGTTTCTCTTGGGATGTGGCTTGGCAGCTGCTCCAGCCCCTCAGAAGCAGTTTGGTCTCTCTCCCTCTGCCCAGGTGAGAGGAGCCCATCAGGGCACAGAGTGCTCAGGGAGCCTGTCCAGGGGCCCAGGTGTGTGTCTGCCTCATCTTGGCAGCCTGCTCCCAAGTGCTGTGGTGTGTAGATGTAGCGCTTAGGGATATGGTTTACTGGTGGACCTGGCAGTGCTGGGTTAACAGTTAGACTCAATGACCATTTTTCCCAGCCTTAGTGATTCCATGATTTTATGACCTGATCGGTGTGTGCCAGCCCATACTGCAGATTGCTGCTCTTACCAAAATCAAGCCAACATCTTGGGGGTCCTCAAGCCAAAAAATAGCAGCAGGCTGGGATAGTGCTGGAAGGAGTATCAGGCACACTTTCCTTCTTCACACCTTGCCCTAGACCCTCACAGTCACTGTTGAAGAACAACAAAATGGCCAAAATAAACCCCTGATTTGAGGCAGCACAGTCACTCTTGTTTGAGGTGGTTTACATACAGCTGCCAGCAAGTGGGCAGGGACAAGAACTGCTCTGCATCGTTCAGTGAGTCGGTTTTGGCTTGCAAGGGAGCACCTTGCAGGGCATAGATGGCAAATTAGTGTAGAAGACAGCTTGTTTCTCTGGCCAGCATCTTTCCAAGGCACTGTACCCATAGGAGATGGTGGCAGCAATGACAGGGTGTGGCTGTAGTTTCTCCAATGAACACTTCAGCTGCTGCCCTTGCACCTAATTCTTAGAAGGACAGATGTATTTACTTTTGTTATGACCTGCCCCAGAAAAAGGGGAGGGGGGTAAACCAGGTTCTTATCAATAATTCCCTTGGAGTGAATTAGAGTGAAATGACACTGAATAATCGGTGTCTGAAAACATATATAGGTAGGGTTTATTTTAACAATTTTGTTTTAACAGGTATGTTAGCATTTTGGGTGTTGTCATCTATATTATCTATCATAGGCATAAACCCTGGGGGGAAAATGCAGAAGGGAGAGAAAGGAAAGACAGGATAAGGGTAAGGGAGAGTAAGGGAAAGAAAAGCTGAGAGTGGAAAGATGTCAATAGTCACCGCCCACGGGGTCCAGAGATGGAACCTGGTAGTTGCAGCTTCCATGTCTGTCAGTTGAAGTGGTGGCCTTGATCCGTTGGGGGTGAAGGAGGGAAGCCTCCACACTCAAAGAAGTTATGAGTTACTATATCCATGGTTAGTGTCACAGGCCATGCCACGAGCCTCCAGCACGTCCTGGGTCTGTGCTGAGTTTCTGTGAGGGGTCTGGCAAAAGGGTTTTTCCAGCCTTTCAAGATTGGCGGGGGGGGGGGAATGGGCTTTGATTGTCCATCAGAGGTATAATGCAAAAGTCCTGCAGAAGTCTGCAAAAGTCCCTTGACAATCCTAGAATGCATAAATCATTAACCGTTTCAGTCTCTGACAACTTTATATATTAAATCTTTATTCACGTTAAACCCCTTCAGAGAGCAAATGAAGACGTGACACAATACAACCATATGCAAATCAATCCCAAACTGAAAGCAAATAAGGAACTGTACCGCTGTTTCACAGGAGCAACCCCACAATGTGAGAGCAATTGGCTGCTGTGTGTGGTTGGGATAAGTGCTGAGCGGGAGGTGCTCCAGGCACTGCCAGGTGTTTTGCACATCTGGCTCTTGGTATGTCTGACCAACTCAAAGAGCAGGGAGAAGATCATGCCCTGAGGGGTGGTGGAAGAAGCTGTGTCTGAGCTCCAATCTGCACAGAATTTTTCAGCTGCTCAGTGCCAAGGTTTCATAGATCAAACAGTGGCTCTTTCACCTCCTTGCTGTGCAGAGGACTTCAAGGCATTATGGAGGCAAGCCAGGCATGCAGGAGCCCAAGCAGAACCTAGCCTGAGGTAGGCCTGAGAGGAGCACATCAGGAAACAGTTGATGATTTGGGAAAAAGATTCAGTGCGTGTTCCCCAGCTGCTCTTCATCCCTAGGTACAGGTGCTTACTAGCCCTTAGGGCACATTGCATCACTGCAGCCTCCAGAGCAGACTGCCAGCCTGGAGGACCCTCCACATCCTACTCAGCAGTGATTTCTCTGGAAACCAGTGCATAGTGCTGGAAACCAGTTCAGCAGGGGAGGGCACGGAGCAGCCTAGGAGCAGATCCTGCTGGAGCAGAAGAGACATGGCAGTTTTGAAATCCCAGCTCAAAGTCAAAGCTGGAAGCACTCTGTGAGCTCAGCTGGCTTTGGGGCTGGGTGTTTAAGACTCCTGGTAGAAGGCAAAGTTGTCAACAGGAGATGAGACAGCCAGTGACCAGTCCAGGAGCTGCTGCATGTTCCCATGGTGAGGCCTGCTCTGCAGTCCCATCCCCAGCAAAGCTGTGTCTGTTCCCTTCTCCCATCCCCACTAACCCAACCATCGAGCACTAGGCCAGGACACTGGCATAGCACAGTGCCTCAGCCAGCACCTGACGTGGAAGAAGGGAACAAACCATAGGATAAAGAAGAGGAGGTGGGAGCCTTAGTTTAAGATTTCCTTAGTTTGAGGTTTCTTTAGCTTGGCATTTCCTTATTTAACGGTGGGTCCCAGTGCTGCCAGGCATTGCCTTATTCGTTAAACCTGGGGTTGACAACAGTGGTGGTGGCACTCTTGAAGAGGGGATTATCAGCCTGGAGGGAGAGAAGTGAGAGGCTTGTGTTGTGCTGTGTTACCTGCCCAACACCTCCCAGTGCCATGGGCACAGACAGCACTGGCAGAAGAGCCCACAGGCTGTTTAGCCCCCTCCAAACTGCAGCTGGTCTGAACAACAGGCCAGTGGGGAGGGCTCAGCTCTACCTGGCTACCTCTGGGAAGGATGTCCCCTCCTGCTGTCCCCACCCCAGGATACACGACCATCCCAGCACACCCCAGTGCCACAGACGGGCTCTCTTACGTCATTCCACTTGGCTTTGGACTTCTCCTTCTCAAACCGGCGGTATTCCCGGCGGTCAAACAGCTCTGTCAGGCACCGCCAGATGAGCAGGACCACCAGGCCAATGAGGACCACGCCAGCGATGGTGCCACCCACAATGAGCGCGATGTTGGGAGGCTCCGGGCACTCTGCGGGGCAGGCAGACCACGTTGGGCTGCAGCAAGGTGAAGCAGCAAGGCTGCCGTGACAGGGCTGGCAGCCTGCCTGTGGCAGGGCAGGGGAAGCGGGGCTGGGGTACCTTTTTCAGGTTCGATGTAGACAGTGTATATATCGTCACCATCCTCCTGGAACATATGGAAGGACATCCAGCAGTTCTGGGAATCCTTCTCCCTGCATTTCCTACTGCCCTCGATCAGCTTCTCGGACTTCCGGATGTTGGGGCAGGCCTGGGAGCAGTTCTTCTCAAAGGGGCCGCTCCCGAAGGCCTTGCACTCCACACAGGAGCTGCAAAACAAGCAGCCACAGCTCACATTTGCAGGGGCACAGACCCACTCACCTGGCTTTGGCCGCAGCTGGGCTCTACCCAGGAGCAGGCAGGGCTTGCCTGCCCCTGCCTGGGATACTGGGGATCTCTGCTGCCCCTGTGCCCTCTCCGTGCGCGTCACTCACACGTATCTGCCACAGGGGGAAGTGCAGCCTGGGCATTCCTGGCAGAAGGGGGGCTGGTACCCGCCCCGGCATTGGCAGCGGTTGCAGAGGCAGGTCCCGCGGAGGCTGCACACGTTCTTGTTGGCGTTCAGGCAATCCTCTGTCGACTGACGGCACTGGCAGGCACTGCCCTGGTACCCAGGCTCGCAGATGCACTGCCCGCAGTAGCATTTCCCGCGTTCTGGGGGGGGAAGACCTTTTCGATTCTGCAGCCATCCAGGTGACCCTCCCTCTGCCTGTGCCTGGAGAGCATCACCCACCCTGCGCTCGCCATGCCACCCTCCACGAGATGCTCAAGGAGGTCCTCCGGGCTGGCGTGGTGGGACCCAGCAGCCTCAAACCCATGCCCTCAGGTTATGACATGAAAAGGCATTTAATTCTTCTAAACAGCGCCTCACCTGGGCCGCCGCAGGGGAAGCCGTTGTGGAACTCGCAGTTCGTGCTGTCGCACTCGCAGTAGGTGCCGTAGATCTCCCTGCCGGGCACGTCGCTGGTGTGGCAGACGCACTGCCCGCACACACAGTCCCCCAGCCCCGAGCAGATCAGTGAGCTGTTGTCCTTCCGGCAGCTGCCCTCCAGCTCCTTGCTGGTTTTGCCTTTGGTGTCACACTCGCAGTTCTTCCCCGTGTAGTCTGGGTTGCAGCTGCCGCCAAAGGGGAGGAGTGAGCTCAGGTCAGCGGCCACCCGAAATGCCGTGGGACATGCACGGGGCCCAGACCTCTACCGCAGCAGAGCAAATCTGGGACAGCCCCACAGAAAACCAGCGTTGGTTAGCATGTTGGTGCTAAATCCATGCTGCAGCAGGGTGGCTGACTGGGAGGAAACCTCAGAAATGCTGCTTTTCCCCCCGTCATACTCACAACACCAAATGGTTGCCCGGAAATTATTCTTATAATTTCCAAACCTTGCCAAGGAGATCTGAGTATTTCCTGAGGAAACCCAATCTCCTCCTCTCCCTGTCACCGAGGGGCCATGAAGAAATAATTATACTAAAAGCCTTAAGTGAACTGCAGCCCAGAAGTGTCATTTTGAGATATTTCTACAGAAACCTGTGTCTGCTCACTAGGTAGGTTGGTGGATGCTTTGATATTGGGATGGATGGTTGCATAGTTGTATGGATGGACGTCCTTGGGAAAGCAGCAGAGGCTCCACCAACAGAAGTGGCAGCTCATTGTGTCCCCTGCCTCTGTGAATGCAGGGTAGAGTTCCAAGGGGAATGCATGAATCCACTTCCCCAAATAAAAAAATTTGTGCAAAGGTGCAGAGCCCAGGCCCTGGCTTGGCTCAACATCTCTCTCCCAGCAGCTCCCCAGATCTGGCAGCATTTGAAATAGTGTTTTGGGTGGTGCA